CTTCCACTAGGCTGCTAGGGGCCTGGTAGGATCAGGAGTGTGCATGGGTGTGAACCTCACCATGGGCAGTGCTTCCTAAGAGAGACCTGGGACAGGGAGGAGTTGAGATCAAATGTAAAAGAGAAATTCAAGCATATTGCTTGTTGGAGCTGCAGCAGGCTGAGGCCTAAGCAATCCAGACATTCTCCTCCCCGGGGGCTCTGAATCTTCCCCTGACACCTTCCAAAGAGAATCATTTCCTCCACCTGTCTCGGAGAGTCTGGTGGCCTACCAGTGACGTTGCAGGCCTGCCTGCCTTGACAAAATTGCCTGAGACTTTGAGTGAGTAAAGGAACTTGGGCTGGGGGTGTGCCAGTCTGAGCAGAGGAATCTCTGACCTTCCCTCTCCTCCAAAGAAGCAGACTTTTTGGTGGAGATATGGCAAGGCTGGGGTAGCTGGCATCCTCTTAAGAAGGACTGTGATTTTTGGAACCTAAGCCCCACAACTCTAGGGGTGACCCTCATCACTCACATACCAGTTACTGTGCTGAGCTCTTGAGACTCGGATTGGTTCGTTTATATCCACTTTGTTCCAAAAGAACATCTGAAGTGGCTTTTCCTCACCAGGCGCTGTGCAAGGTGCTGGTGCTGGGACAGGAGCCTAATCACAATCCCAGGGTTTCCCTGAATCCCTACTGAGGAAAGCTGCCTTTGATTTATAGAAAGAACTTTCAAGATCTAATGCTGAAACTGCAACCATTCAAAATCAATGCACAGAGCTATGGCCAAAATGCCAATGGATAAAACAATTTCTAAAAATATTCAGTTAATCCAAGAAGAAAACTGGAAAGGAAGAACTGAGGAATAGAAAACAGAACAACAAACAGTGAAATGAAGAGCTGGGTTTGTGGCTCAGCGGTAGAGCGCTCACCTCGCACGTGCGAGACCCTGGGTTCGATCCTCAGCACCACATACAAAAATAAACAAGTGAAATAAAGGTGTTGTGTCCAACTACAACTAAAAAATAAATATTAAAAAAAAACAGTGAAATGAAGAACACAAATCCAACTCTCTCAATATTATGTTATACATAAATGACTAAACTATTTAAAAAGGTAGAGATCACCAGACTAGACAAAAGCAGGACCCAATGATACAGTGTCTCTTAAGATATTAAAACACATAAAATCCAAAAGAACAGAATTTTAGTCCTTTTTAAAAAGAATTTACACTTAAAAACAGAATTTAAAAAATCCGAAAGAAAAATATACTTTGCAAATGGAAAGCACAAAAAGGCTGATATATTAATATTACATTAAGCAGACTTTAAGACAGAGTGACAGAGGAATATTTCACAGTGATAAAAAGTCAATTCAACAGAAAGACATATGATCATGGATCTATATGCATCCAAATCTAATCAGGATAAACTAAAGGTCTTAGCCACGGGAGGTACCTGTGTACAGGAGCTGAGGTTTGGCCCCAGCAGCTGGGATAGCACTCACTGGTCTCCACAGATATGTGTGGGAGTAACTGCTATGGAGCTCCGGGAGTGGCCTGATGGTCTTGGGAACTTCAGTATTCCGAGATAGCTATAAGTTCTGAATAAGCCACAGGCTTCAAATTGGGAGCAAAACATGGGCTGGGTCACCTTCACTGTTCTACCACAGAAAAATGGCTCTCCGGATAATTATCAGCCATTCCAAACTCCAAGGATACAATCCAGAGAAGCAGGTCTGACCCCTGCCTCTCGTTCAGCCTTGTCTCCTCTCTAAAGCCCAGCCAGGGCTCTTGTCAGTCCAACAAAGGACACATACTAGTTCCTCTGCGTAAAAGCCTTTAAGCCCTCTTCAACTTACTCTTGCTCATGCTTCAAGGACTGCTCAACAACTGAGAGTAGGATTTAAACAGGATGACAGCTTTGCTAAGAGGGAAGGTGAATCTTGAGGATTAAGGGAGAGATTAAATAATTGACCACAGAATTTAGGCTGAGTCGGGGAGAGGGGACTTCGAATGGGTGAGTGACAATGAAAAGATGAGTCCCATTTAAGTGAAATTATTGCTGCAGTTGGGTTACAGAAGGGGCGACTGGAAAGGAGGAAGACACTGGTCAGGCAGTGGGGCATGAGATAAGAATTCATTCTAGGACTGGGGCGGTAGCATGATGGTACAATGATTGCCTAGCGTGCACAAGGCCCTGGGTTTGATCCCCAGTATCATAAAAACAAAACAAAATACGCATCTGTCTTATAGTGGTATTTTCAAAGTTGTTAAATGTATCCACTTTAAATTGGAGAAAACAGCCATCTAAATGTTAACAAGTCTCACATTGCTATTGTTTCTTTTAGAGCAGTAAGTAGTGGCTTGATAACAAGTTTCTCAAACATGGCCAAGAGCAGGCTGACCACTGGGTAATCTATATGCTTGTCATCTGAAAGGGAGAGTGACTGATATGACTTCTAATGGTTTTGTTTTCTATATAATATCATGGTGTCTTGTTAAATCAGGATGAAATAAAATCTCATAATGAAGAAAGTAATGCATTTCCTTTTTTGGCTGCATTTCTTTTTCTTTAGAATAGTTTCTAGGACCAATGACTTACACAATAAAATGATTTTTGAAAATACTCAAACTAGCTCTGAAAAGGAAACCAGCTCCTCCATAATCAACAGAAACTCCCCGCCACAAACACATATCCTACAACTTTAAAAAAAACAAGAAATGGGGCTGGGGATGTGGCTCAAGCGGTAGTGCGCTCGCCTGGCATGCGTGCGGCCCGGGTTCGATCCTCAGCACCACATACAAACAAAGATGTTATGTCCGCCGAAAACTAGAAAATAAATATTTAAAAAAAAAAAAAAAAAAACAAGAAACAAAGAGGGTCCTTAATTGCCTACAGACAAATTCATGCTCTCTCTAATCTTCTGGGTACTGCTCCCTCATATTCTTTTGAATCTGGGACTCCCCTTGTTTGCAAATGCATATTTGATTTACTGTCAAACACAATCAGGTTTTTGAATATTGTTCCGAATTTTGTGTTAGTGTGAGCATAGGCTCTTCCTCTAGTGAAGATCACAGAGTCACTCCTGGAAGCCCATGGTATATGTACCCACTCGCCTCTCTTGCACATAAAGGAGAACCTGGGAAACCTGAGTGTTGGGAACTGTGCTGAAGTAGTCACCTGGCTTCATTCACACTGGTGGTCACTTTCCTCATTTCTTCCCGCTTGCAGATCTTTAGTAAAAGATAAAAGACACATTTCAAAATTCAAAATGGTGTTTCCCCCAACAGTATTTCCTCTACTGATCTCTGGAGGCTGGGGTGGAACCCGCTGTGGGCCCCTGGCAGCCTGTGCCTGGGTCTGTCATGGTTAGCACTCACTCTCCCTCAGATCCGTGAGTTTCCTTTTGAGTGGAGATTGGGCTGCTCCAGTGGGACCTCCTGTCCCTACACGAGGCCTGCAGAGAAGAGAACTTATTTCACGTTGCACTCAGTCCAAAGGCCCTGCTAGAAGCCGTGCCCGATCCTTCGCATGGTGCCACTACGCCAGGGCAGACTGAGCTGGCTGCATATGCACACTGTGTGACCTGCTGCAGTAGAAATGCACTTCACACAACACATGTGCTCTAACTTGTGCTCAGCTTTGCTTGGGGGTCAACAGAGGAGATCTTAGTACTGTCCTTTACCAAAGTGGGTAGTGCTCCTCAAGTGTCCCTCAAATGTGGATCCTCTGACATTGCAGGTGGTCTCTCCTCATGAGTCATCTTCTTGGTCTCTAACCACTAGAGGAGTGCTTGGCATGGTGGTCCTCAAGAAATGTTTGTAGAGTGAACTGGATGAATAACAGACACCTTTTTCCTTTATCTGTCTTGGCTATTAAAATCTCAAGGCTATGTTAAGATTTCAACTGCAACTGTTTCCTGTTTTTTTGCTAATAATTCTTTATGTTCAAATTTTTTTGATTTTTTATTTGGAGCTTCTGGTTTTATAGTTTTTTTTTTTTAACCTCTGTTCTGTTTTTGGAAATAGCTTGTATAAAAATAGTGGACAAGATAGAGAAGGTTTTCCATCACCAGAAACCTCCCTGCAGGGGAGAACACCAACTATTTGGAGGACATCCCCTGACAGCGTGGAACCTGCAAACTGCTCCCACAGGTATCTGAAGCCTCCTTGCACTTGTGCCTGAGGGGAAGTGTCCAGAGGGAAAGTAGAAATAAGGAAAGTTGGTGGGAGAGTGACTTAAGGCCAAATGGAGCTTTAATGATGACACAGAATTCAAGCCCTTGAGGAGAGGGCAACTTTCAAAGATGACAGAGGGAAAGCTGGCTTAAGAAAAACTGGATGTGTGCACCTGTGGGCCTCGTAAACACCAGACTGGGGAAAGGCCAAGAGATCTGGGGACTTGGAGCAGCTGTGTAACTGTGGGGCAAGTCCCTTCACCACTTTGAGTCTCAGTTTCTTCACTTATAAAATGGGGCTCTGAATGGTGCCTGCATCATACGGCTGACATTTTGTGGGCACGGTAGACTTCCACTTGGTGGCTTGCTCAGCAGACAATGACTCCTCCCCTTCTCTAGGCTCAGATGGACAGAAGTGAAATGTGAGTGAGATGTCTGCATGGCTAAGAGTGGCAGGCACTCATTTTGCATTTTTCAAAAAGTGTAAATACATATCCAAGAAAATGGTCTCATTCCTTTTCCCCCCCAGATGAACAGATGTGAACTACAACAGAAGGATGGTCCCAAACTTGTTGAGGAATGTGACATTTCATCAAGCTAACTTTCACCCTGTCTGCCAGATAAACACAAACTTGAGTGAAGTGACCAGGACACGGGTCCCTGCTGGGGGAAAGCAGTAATATCCAGATACCCCGCTTCCCAAGTTAGCCCAGCTGGTAGAGCTTAGAAACTCTAAGCTCTGGAACCATGATGGACAGAGAACCCACAGTGATTTTTGCTGTGATGGGAGGATCCTTTCATTCCCAAGAGGTGAATAATGTCACAAAAACTCAAAAGACTCACCAGGGCTTGTAGCTTAGGACAGTGAATGGAGAGCTGGATGAGCGTGCTGTCGGTTATCTGGAGAGAAACACGCTGTGTCAGTGTAGCTTCTACACCAGAACTTAATACCTAATCCTGGCTTCTCCTGAACATGGAAATCAAAAGGTGCAAAAGAGAATTAAAAACTCATCCAGGCATACTCCGGCTGGAAGCTCCTGTCTTTACCAGCAACCTCCAATCTGCCCACTCCTGGAGATGCACAACTGTAACAGTTTGGTCTCTCTATGGTGCCCTAAAAGGGGCTTAGGGGAAAAGAACAAACAGGGAATGGGCAAGAAGTATTCTCTCTAGAGTCACCCCATCGCTGGATATATCAGTTTATTTCTCCCTTAAGTTCTGTGAAAAAATAAGAGGAGACCTTGTTTTTTATGTCTGGCAAAAGATGAAGCCATCTTGAATTTCTTTGCTACAACTCTGCCTGATGACTGCAAGTAGCCAAAAGTTTACATATCCCACTGCCATGGCCCATAATGAGTACCCAAGTCCCACTGCCTATACTGGGCAAGAAGGGTTGGGACAACAGGCAGTCTATGTCCCTAGCTGTGTGATGCTACTAGCAGTAACTGAGGAGCAGCCCTCAGGGCTCTTAGGGTTCCACTCACCAGGATGCATTCTTCCAGATCCATCTTCTCCAGGTCATGGCAATTCTGAAAGAGTACACAAGACATGCCCTGCTGTGTAGGAAACACCTGCAATTTACCTGTCCCCCTGAGTATGAATCAAGGTCCTTGTTCTTTTCCATTAAGGGGTATGGTCTGTTCTTAGAGCTACTCAGTGAACCAGCATCTCTGAGCTTGTGCCCTTTGAGTCATAGTCACTTTGAAAATGGAAATAGGGCTGCTCTGGCAGCATTTTCTTCTCTCAACCTGAAAGAGCACTTTCCCAGTGGTTCAGACATTAGCAGGAAAATTTTAATCATAGGCCAGGCTCTGGGAGGACAGGGAATGAGGCGGTCAGCCACACTGGGGAGGTGGGTGGGGTTGATTGTAGGGTAGGAAGAAGAATATATCAGCATCCCCTGAAGGACACTGGCTCCTTGCAACAAGCCCAGAAAGGGCCTCATAGTGACCTTGGTGGTCACTGTGGCAGACAATGTAGAAAATGGAGCAAGCCCAGCCTAGTTAGGGGATGCTGTAGAGAGGCCAACTGGGGTCTGTGTAGGAATGGCATCTCTTACAGGAGAAGAAGCTCCTCTCAGGGCGGCCCCACCTGTTCAAGTGAGAAGGAGGCTTGGGCCCTTTCCAGAATTCTCTCCAGTGTCTTCCTAGATTTCTGGCTAGCTGAAAAAAATGTAAAACTTACCCCAAGGATTCTACTTGGCTTTGTGCTCGTCTTTTCTGAAGCTAATTTTTGCACACCACACAACCACCCCAGGTCACTTTGAATTACAGTTGTTGTTTAAAAATCTATGCCTTACCCGAGCTAAAAGTGTAAAGCCTGCATCAGTCAAATGGGAGCATCGGGCAGCCTCCAAAATTCTAGGAAGGGGACATGCAGGGGAGAAAAAAAGTACCAAGAGATTAACAATAGAAACATTATGCTCCGCTGCACACTCTTGATGTTGTTCTGTTCTTTGACACTTTGCCTCTGTCAATCATTCTAAGGGTTGTAAAACTCAAAGACTGTCACAACTGAACAGATGAGGGCCTGCTTGAGGGTTAGGGAGGACCTGTCCAAGGCCCTAAAGTCTCATCCCAAACTCCCGTAGTAAATCCAAGAATCTTCCCCACCACCACATTGTTGGTTTTGAAATAATACTCTAATATTTAGTGACTTATTTTAAAAGTCACTAAATAAAAGACTGGGGTTGTAGCTCAGTGGTACAGCGCTTGCCTAGCATGCGTGAGGCACTGGGTCTGATACTCAGCACCACATATAAATAAATAAATAAAATAAAGGCCCATTGACAACTAAAAATATATTTTAAAAATATTGCATTTCATTTAAAAAATAAATAAAACACAATTAAAACGAACTTGTATGTAATAAAATCATATTACAATATATTCATTGAAATTCCAAGTTACAAGAAATTTAAAACAATTATAGGCAATGAAAAACTGAGTTGATTTTTGGTGAGAGACACAGTGGCACATTCCTGTCATCCCAGAGACTTGGGAGGCTGAGGCAGGGGCTGGGGATATAGCTCAGTGGTACAGCACCCCTGGGTTCAATGCCCAGTACCACACACACCTACATACACATAATTCTCAATTACTCATGCTTAATAGGAATGAATGCATGAATAACATTTCTAAGTTAACAATAATTTTAACCTGTTCTCTGACCAGAGTTGTTTTTGGTCTTTTGTTGTTTCTGTGCTGGGGATTGGACAGAGGCCCTAATGCATTTTAAGCGCGTGCTCTGCCACTGAGCTTCATCCTCAGCCCTCTGACTAGTTCTGACCACCCAAATTCCTTCTATGAAGCAGAAATATCAAAATTATCTAGAATCTTTCTTAAAAAAAATTCAGACAAATACAAAATAAATGATTCTTAAAAGTTACATAACTGACATGAGAAATGGATCAGTTTCACTGGCATATAAAACGTTAAAATAATTTTTCTGCCTCTTGTATGCAGGTTAGGATTGCTAGTTTGAAAGTCAAACCCTAAGTCCAAATTCTATCTTTACTTCTTAATCATCATGTGACCCAGGACAAATTATATGATTTTCCTCTGTATCTGTTTCTCCTCTGCAGAATAAATGAGAATAGTGGTAACTACTCAGAGATGTGTTGAGAATAAGATATCACTCATAAAGACACCTGGCACTGAGTCAGGAACATAACATGAGTGCAAGATTAGCCCTAAGTAGTTTTCATATGCATAGCTGGTAGCAATAATGTGTTGCCTTGAGAATCAGAAAATAAATTATTATTTATTGAAACAGTTGGGTGTGGTGGTGCACACCTGTAATTCCAGCAACTTGGGAGGCTATGACAGGAGAATTACAGATTTGAGACTAGCCTCAGTAATTTAGTGAAACCTTGTCTCAAAAAATAAAAAGGGTAGGGAATGTAGCTCAATGGTAAAGCATTCCTGGGTTCAATCCCCAATGCCAAAACAAAACAAAAATCTCCCATTCTTCCTGCTGGGGAAAATGAAAAATAAGAAGCAATTATGATCTTTTCCCCTCACTGTGTCTACTTAGCAGCAGGTTTAAAGGAGACACTGGGAACATCTGGACCAAGGCTACCACTTTGCTCGCCATCAAATTACTCTGGTGTTTGAAGAGATTAACAGGATGAAGCAAATTGGTGGTGGTGGTTGGAATGCGTGAATTCATCAAGAAACACAATTCAGATTCACTGGTGCTAGCCACTTCACACTCTGCTGGTGCAACCCTCAATGAACTAGGTTACACGCTGCCCCACCTCCGTCCACCCAGCAAAAACACAACTCCTGCCTCCCCTACCACCTGTTCCTCTTGCTCCACGCCTTCCCCTCCTCTTGGTCAGCCCAGGCAATCTCTGAGCTGCAAAGCAGAAAGCATGGCATACTCACTGCAGTCTCGGGCAGTTCAGACCCAGGGCCGTAAGAGATGCGTCGGTGAGGTTGCTGCAACCCGAAAGGCAGAGGGCCTGCAGCCGGTGGCAGCCCCTGCATATCTGCACCACGCCTTCATCCGTGATGCGCTGCAGAAAAGCAGTGCAGGAAGAAGTCAGAGGACATCAGAACTAGACAGGAGCAACTGTTATTTGGTTGTCAGTTACTAGCACTTCCTAACAACTTAAAAAAGGGCAGATATGTATTTGTATTAAAATGTTCTAGCATTACTGATGGAGGGTAAAAACTTTAAATTATATTTCTACCCCCAGGATTCATCAAAATAGATATAGATTAGACTCCCCCCACCCAGGAAAAATTCTTGATTGTAAAACATAAAACTTGCCTAAGTGACATTAATATTTGGTTGAACATCTACAAATTAATGCTTTAGACATTTGCCATATAAATCACATATATACAAACAATATTTCCTCAAATGTTTTAAAGATAACAAATCAGTTATTGAAAAATGCCTTAGAATTTTGTTAGTTTAGCCATAAAGATTCCATATAACATAAATGCTCTAATTCATATAGAAATAAATTGCACATCTATATTGTATCTTGAGCCACGTGCAATTCTACATGCAGGTCAAAGTCTTATTTTGAATAGTCCAGGCCCACAAAGTCAAGACTGGTCCAGAAGATGGTTTGTTTTCTGTCCCACCATCAGGGACTCTAAAGATTTAGTATTCATTCATTAAAGATCAAATGCAAGGGCTTTTGAGAGAGAGAACTCTCTCAGGGCTACATGCCCCTTGAGGAACCCTGTAGCCTGCTGAAAGCACACACTGTACTTCTCAGCATTTATAGTGGTAGTGAAGAAGGGCCAGCAGGTTTGCACAGGCTATGCCCTGATGAAGATGAAATGCTACCTTGCTCTTGCATACGTCATTTATTTTTCTAGGCATTTTCACATCTGCTATTTCATTTTATCTCCTGAAATATTACAGTTGCCATTACCCCCAATTTATAAGTTGAAAAAAAAGACACTGAGTTCTCATGATGAACTATTCAGGTCTAACAACTAGTTAGTGACTAGTTCACAGTATTTCTTTTTCTCTTTTTCTGTACTGGGGATTAACTGAGCCACATCCCCAGCCCTTTTGAGACAGGGTCTTGTTAAGTTGCTTGGAGTTGATAAATTGCTGAGGCTGGCCTCATATTTGCAATTCCCCTGCCTCAGCCTTCCAAACTGCTAGGATTATAAACATTCACCACTGTGCCTGGTTAGTTCATGGCAACTCTGATACTTTACTCAATACTCTATTATTTTTTTTAATCAAGGCTTGATTTATAGTACTTCCAGGGGAGATGTTGGTGGCTCAGTATTGAGGGTGATGCCTTGTTCTTTTATCTCATGGCAAAGTGACAGATCCTACAAAGACACAGGATGAGAAGCCAGAGTGCAGGTCTGGCAATGTGACTATTTGCCAGTCATCTCAGCTGCAAGGGATGCTGTGCAGTGAGGCCTACAACAGATTTCTGGGGGAAAGAACGGAGCAGGGCAGTGTTCGGGAAAGGCATGCTACTTACTGAGCAGGACTGTAAGTTGAGGCTCACAAGCTCATGGCAATAATTCTGAATGTGCTTCAGAGCTTCATCTTCTAACTAAGTGGACACAAAAAACAGAAGAGGGATGAAGTCTTGGTGAGGGAACAAGTGGGACACCAGGGAAAATGCAACAGCAAATTAGTTCCCGATGTGTGAGAAAATCAGCTGCATGAACATTTTTGGTACCTGTGTGCAGCCCCTCAGGAGCAGGGCTTTTAGGCCTTGACAACCCCGTACCAGCGCTTCAATGCCATCCTTTGTGATCTGATCACACCAAGAGAGGTTCAGGTACTCCAGATTTCGGCAGCCCTCACTGAGAGAACAAGAAACAAAAACACCCCTGTGTACTCCTGTAGACAGTTATTACCGACTTTGAATTTAATACATCATCAGCAATTCAGTGAGTGAGACAGCCCCCATAACCTGTCTGAGCCGTCATCTCTTCCCTGCTCTAGTGGGACCATTAGGAAGGCTTCATCAGGAAGATACACCGGAATGTTCACTGTTTGGGTATTTTCTTTTTTAATTTTTTATTGTTTGGGTATTTTCTAGACCACAAACAAAGGGTGTTCTTACCTGATGCCCTTTAAGGAGCTGTTTGTAATAGACACGCAGGAGGTCAGGTCCAGGTGTTTCAGCTTGGAACAGAATCTGCTAAGGCTGTAACACGTGCTGGAAAAGAGCAGATGCACTAAAGATATTTTCAACCATGTTTCTCTCCCCTCATTCACCCGGAAGCCACTTTATCCCTAAACTAATCCTCATTACTTACCTGTCAGTGATTTTTGTGCACCCATTGAGGTTTAAATGTTCAATGTTTCGGCAGTTCTGTGCAAAGGTCCTAAAATGAGAAAATATTGTAAAACTTCCTGCAAGTTGCTGGCCAGCCACTAGAGGGCACAGGTACCATTTCCTTAAAACAGTGCTTCTCAAATTTCAATGCATATGAAACAGCTAAGCCTTTCATCACAGTGCAGATTCTGATGGTAGATGTGGCTCTGTAGTACCAAGAAACTCCCAGTGATGCCACTGCTGCTAGTCTGGGACCATGTAAGAAGCAAACCTCTAGACTGACTTTCTATCCACCAACTGTCCTTCAACCTTGGTGAGTCATCTGAGAACGGAGGCCTGCTTCTTACTCCTTCTCTTCTATAGAAAAATCAATTTGCAAAAAAGGGGACAATTGTTTCTTGTATTATGTCATGTTATCATTTGGTTAAACTAGGGCCTTTCTGGAAAAATCATCTATGGCCATGGAGAGGTGTCAGTAATTCATACTGGTATAAATCGAGTGATGAAGGGCAACTTCCTCAATGATCTGTGGGCTAGTAACATGTTAACTGCTTAACATATTCAGCAAGGACTGGCTCAGGTCACCTGTGTCTTCTGAAATACAGCTTGAATATGTCTTATAGGATAGAATCCTGACTCTCCCGTGCAGTACCCAAAGGCCTCTAAAACTTGGCCTCAAAGCAGATATTACCTTATCTACTCCTTCTGACCTGCCATGGGGCAACCAAATTGGAGCCTGATGGACTCTCTTGAGATGAGGAGCTGAAAGTCTAGGAAGCTCACAGTGACTACAGTTATCACAGAAGAGTACTATTAGAGTGGAGATCTCCAGGATCTGCAGAGGGCGCTGCTTGAGAATTCAACAGAATATAGATCACCATATGGATACAAGGAAACTAGTCAAGCTGGGGGGCGGGGAGGAAGATTAGCTAACAATATTAAAAAGAACAACAGTCAGAGCTCACCCAGGGTAAGGAACAGTGGTCACTTCCACTAGCCTGGTTAAAAAAAAATGTCATAATCCATGGGGCAATGGATAGAGTACTGAGAAGGATCTTGCTTCAGGAGACTAATTAGACCTAGGCTAAACACTGCTTTGGTCCAACCTAAAAAAAAAAATCTCTCTTGCAGTGCTGGTGATTGAACCCAGGCCTTGTACACGCCAGGCAAGTGCTCTACCACTGAGCTATACCCCTCAGTTCCAAAACTAACAAATGTTAAGAATAAGACCAAAAAAGAACTATTCCTAAGTGACTGAACTGCATCCCAGAACAAAATTCAAAAGAGTATTAATAGGAGTACAAATATGTCCTGCACCCAAAAAAGTAAAATTTGCAATGTCTGGTACTGAACAAAAAATTGTCAATCTTTTAAAGGAGGAGGAAAATATGTCTACAACAAAGAGAAAATTCATTATATCAAAACTTATTACAAACTGACAGCAGAAATAGCAAAGACATTGAAAGCTATTATAAATGTTTTTACATAGAATTCAGTTCTAAGAAGCTAAAGATTAAATGTTATGCAGAAGCTTGAAAGATATTTTTAAAACCACCCAAATTAAACTTTTAGATATGAAAACCACAAATGGCTGAGATGAGAATTTATTAGATGGGATTAACAGCAGATTGGACATGGTATATGAAATGATTAGTGACCTTGACATAGCAATAGAAACTATCCAAGATAAAACATGGAGAGAAAAGAAGAAAAAGATCAGAGCATAAATGAACTGTAGGACATCTTTAAGCAACTTAATAGACATGAGACTGAAGTTCTTAAAAAAGAGGAGATAGCCAGGCATAGGCCTGTAATCCCAGAGACTCAGGAGAATTATAAGTTTGAGGCCAGTCTCAGCAATTTAGTGAGGCCCTAAGCAACTCAGCAAGACCCTGTCTCAAAATAAAAAATAAAAGAGCTGGAGATGTGGCTTAGTGGTTAAGGCCCCTGGGTTCAATCTCATGAAAATAGAAGGGAGATCAGTGGAGTAGAGGAAGGGGGTAGAAGGAGAAGGAAAATGGAGGAACTACAGAATAAAAATTGAACAAACTATGCTATGTACACACACAACTATACCACAGTGAATTTCACCATTATGTATATCTACATAACACCAATTAGAAAGAACAATAAGTAGAAGGAAGACCAGCAGAGGAAGGGAAACAGAGGATGGGAGGAGTGGAAAGAGGAAGTACTAGGGACTGGAATGGAACAAATTCCATTCCATGCATGTACGTCAAAATGAAACTCACTGCTATATATAGTATAATGCACTAATAAAAATATTTGTAAAAAAGAAGTAGCAAGGTTAGAACATGTGAGGGCAACCTGCAAGTGCAAGGAAAACTGGTGGGGAATTGTGTAAATTCCACCTCTAGTTCAGTCCCTTGCTATCTCTCTATAAATGTCAAATTCCAGTTCCAAATGAGGCAGTTCTCCCATTCTGAATTGAGTTTGCCAGCACCTCCAGTCTTGACTGTGTACTTTCCCCATTATAATAAGTTTCTTGCTCTGCTACTCAAATGTGACACATCCTTAAATCTTTTTCTGTGACATGGTCAAGAGCCTGAAAGGTCTGAGACCCACAGATAGTGACAATGGAAAACTGGTCTGTGATGCATAAGGGAATAAAAGTCGCTTTCCATTTAGAACTGACAAGTCAGGAAGCCAGCTGTGGGAAATGGGGTTTTCATATCTAAAATCATATACTATATATATGTATATATTAGTATATGATCAATTATGATATATATACACACAAGTATACTATATTTAGCATGGGGGTTCATGGGAAACTCATGCGTGGGACCCACTGCTGCCCAGCCCCTTCAGTGCAGATAGTTGCGACTGACTCTATAGCACCTCCCTGTTGTAGTTGTTTTTATTTGCTTATTACTGCATTTCCACTTCAAGTTTATTTTTATTTTGTGGTTGTTAGTTTGTTTTCTTCTTTCCGAGTACTGCTGGGAATCGAGTTTAGCACCTTAAGGATGTCGAGTGGGTACGTGGCTGTGGAGTGGCATTCCCAACACAGTTGTGAGAAACTGCAACTCAATCTAGACATGTCCTTGACTTTGACTCTCTAGAACCTTGGCAGATACTTCAACTTAAAGATGGGGGAGATAAGCCTCCAGTGGATGATGTGGCCCCAAGAAGGCACAGAGGAGGCCTCAAGTCCCACTCACAGCCATTCACTCCCACAGCAACAGCAGAAAGAAACAATGCAACAGCTGTGGATACTGTACCTATGAGTGACGTCAGCATAGGCTGCTCCCATACCCTCCCGTATCTTTTCAGGCTGCTAGCAAGATTGGATGACTACGCAAAAAAAGTAGAACTCCTATATCCTGCTGCCTACAGCACACCTGCCTGCATTTCTAGAGGGTCTTAATTCTTGGGAGATGTTCAGGGAAGTGGGTTACTTAGGTTCTAACACAGCATGCAAGCCAAAAGCCATAGGAAAACTACAGTAAGAAATAAGAAGTCCATTCAGAATAAAACAACACTACAAAACAAACTAATTTTCTTGGGCACAGTATAAAAATAAGGCTGTTCCCTAATTAGACTTTCACATGAAAATGGAAGTGATTTCCATTTCAATATATGTGTGGATCTCAACATAGAACACCAGAAATGTGAAAAACAAAAAACAAAAAACAAAAAACAAGGCAATGTGACTCCACCAAAAGTTAATAACTCTCTAGTAACTGATTCCGAAGATGCTGGACAAGAATTCAAAAGAATGGTTTTCTAAATGGTCAATAAATGGTTTTTTAAATGATCAATAAATTCAAAGAGGTTACAAACAGTTGAATAAACTAAGGAAAATAATATAGATTATGAAAGAGCAACTTAATAAAGAAATACAGATTCTGAAAAAGAATCAAATAGAAATACTGGAAATGAAAAGCTCAGTAAGTTGAATTATAAACTCAGTGGAAAGCTGCACCAGTAAACTAAATCAAGAAGAAAGAATATCAGGCATTAAAAATAAAGTTGAAGACGGACAGTGATGGACTCTTGTCATCCCAGCGGCTTGGGAGGCTGAGGCAGGAGGATCACGAGTTCAAAGTCAACCTCAGCAAAAGCGAGGCACTAAGCAACTGAGTGAGACCCTGTCTCTAAATAAATTACAAAAAAATAGGGCTGGGGATGTGGCTCAGTGGCCGAGAACCCCTGGGTTCAATCCTTCAAATCCCCAGTATAAAAAAAAAATAAAAAAATAAAGTTGATGAATTATCACATTGTAATACTAGTAAGGAAAAAATTTAAGAAAGAATGAAAAAAACATACAAGATCTATGGGACACCATTAAAAGACCACACTTATATATACTGGGAACAGATGAAGGACTTCAGATATAGGCTAAGGGAATAGAAAACTAATTTAAAGTAATAAGAAGCAGAAATTGTCCCCATTTTTGGGAAAGACATGGGAATCCAGGTACAGGAGGCATTTAGAACTCCAAATAGACACAACCTGAAAAGAACTCCTAGTGCAGAGTCACATCTAAAGGTAAACCCACTAGAATGACAGCAGATTTCTTAGTAGAAACTCTAATGGCCAGGAGGACATGGAATGATGCATGAAGCCCTGGAGGAGATGGGGAACCCACCAACCTTGATAACTATATCCAGCAAAGTCAACCTCCAACATCAAAGAAGAAATAAAGACCTTAAAAAATAAGCATAAATTAAAGGAATTCATGATTACTAAAACAGCATTATAGAAGATACTTGAAGGAATCCTACACATAAAAGAGGAAGCAAGACAAACAAAATCATAGAAAAGAATAAATCTTACTAGAAGAGAAAACCAGTAAATGAGAATTAGTAAGGATTAATTACTTCTAAGATGAATAATGGAGAAAGAAAAGAACGTAGATCATTCAAAACAACAAAATGACAGGAATTAGTACATATCTTTTAAAAATAACCCTTAAGGTAAATGGTCTTAATTCTCTAATAAAAAGAAGCAGACTGGATAGATGGATTATAAAACTAATCTTAACAATTTGCTATCTGCAAGAAACTTATATTGTTGGTGAAG